CTAACAAAATAAAGAATTAAAAAAAAAAAGAACAAATTTAGAATTGAAAAAAAAAAAAAGATGGTTTGTATCTTTCTCAAAAGGTAACAAATGTTCTCAATGAGCAGTTCACTGGTTTTGTTAGGATGTATTTAAACTAGAGCGGGGCAAAAGGGTGATAAAATGTCAATCCAATTGTCCCCCAAAACAAGGACAGAAGGTGCCTGTAGCAAGTGTATTAAAAAATGATAAGCTTAGAGTCATGTCTACAAATGCTCGCAGTTTAGGGAATAAGATCCATGAACTTGTGGCAATAATGGCAACTGATAGTGTAGATTTAGTCGCTGTTACTGAGACATGGTACAATGAGAAAAATGACATAACAATACCAGGGTACTCTTTATATAGAAAAGACAGGGAAGGCAAATAAGGGGGAGGTGTGGCCCTGTATGTGAAGGGTAGCATAAAATCTAGCCTAATAAAAGTTAGTGAGGCGAACATAGAGTCCGTTTGGGTTACGTTAGAATTTGGTAATCACACAATAACTCGTGTAGGTGTGATTTATAGGCCCCCAGGACAAATTGAAGAGTTAGATAATCTACTAGTTGAGGAAATAGTTAAAATGACAATGAAGGGGGAAGTTATCATCATGGGTGACTTTAATCTTCCTGATGTAAATTGGAAAACAAAAATAGCTGCTTGTGCCAGAAGCACACATATTCTAAACTCCCTACTGGGATTGTCTCTAAAACAAGTCGTTGAGGAGCCAACTCGTAAAGAGGCCATACTAGATTTAGTGTTAACAAATGGAGATTTGGTATCAGATATTACTGTAGGTGAAAGTTTAGGATCCAGCGATCACCAGTCAGTATGGTTTAATATAAGTACAGTGACTGAGTCACACCACACAAAAACAAAACTTTTAGATTTTGAAAAAACAGACTTTTCTAAAATTTGAATTTGTGTAAAGAAGCCATTATCAGACTAGAGCAATGTAAATGGAGTCCAAGAGAAATGGGATAATTGAAAAGTTGCACTGCTAAAGGCAACAGAAAATTGCATTAGGCTTGTCAGTAAAAGCATAAAATTCAAGAAACCACTGTGGTACTCCGCAGATGTGGCCAGAATAGTTAAAAACAAAAAGTTAGCATTTAGGAATTATAAAAAAAACAGAGTGAGGAAGACAAAATGATCTATAAGATTAGGCAGAAAGAGGCTAAGCAAGTTATAAGAGCTTCCAAATCACACACAGAAGAGAAAATAGCACACTCAGTAAAAAAGGGGGGCAAAACTTTTTTTAGATACATAAATGAGAAAAGAAAAGTAAAACAAGGATTAGTTAGATTAAAAACAATAGAAGGAATGTATGTAGAAGAGGATAAAGGTCTAGCTGACTGCCTCAATGAATATTTTTGTTCTGTATTTACAGATGAAAATTAAGGAAAGGGACCTCAGTTAAGAAAAAGGATAAACGAGTCATTTATTACACGTGAGTTTACAGAGGAAGAGGTTCTATTTCAACTGTCAAACGTAAAGACAAATAAGTCAATGGGACCTGATGGAATACACCCAAAGCTATTAAAAGAGCTTAGTGGTGTACTAGCAAAACCATTAACAGATTTATTTAACCAATCATTGTTAACAGGAATAGTCCCAGAAGATTGGAAGTTAGCGAATGTTGTGCCCATTCACAAGAAAGGTAATAGGGAGGAGTCGGGCAACTATAGGCCAGTAAGCCTTACTTCAGTAGTGAGGAAAGTGATGGAAACCATGTTAAAGGATAGGATTGTTGAACATCTAAAAACACATGGATTTCAAGATCAGAGACAACATGGGTTTACTTCAGGGAGATCATGCCAAACTAATCTTATTTTATTGGGTAACTAAAATTATAGATCAGGGAGGTGCAGTAGACATTGCTTACCTAGATTTCAGTAAGTCTTTTGACACTTTTTCACATAGCAGGCTTATCAATAAACTGCAATCTTTAAGTTTGTTTTCATAGGGCCTCCGTCGCTGCGGTAAGTTATGTGCTAGATTTAGTGTATAAGTTTGTTCAGGTGTCAGTTCTTTTTATCTTATTTAGTGTTCCAGTTGGTTATTATGAGGTTCAGTTGTTGGATCCAGAAGGCCGTTGTCCCCTTCTACTCCTCAGCGAGGTGGAAGGCCTACCATTTTCCACTCTGGCCGGATCTTCTTCAGAGAGGTCGCTGGTTCTGCCGGTGCAGGTAAGGTATCTTGCCTATTCCATAGGCCCCATTCTCTGAACGTAGCAAGACCACCGCTCAGGTCATCTATAATATGGAGTTTGCCATTTCTCCAGATCATGAGTTTTGTGACCTGTATGCCAGTTTATGGTTGCGTAGGGTCTTAGTAATAGAAGAGAATTCTCTCCATCTGGCCATAGTAAGGGCCGATGGGTCTGCATATATCGAGATGTTATTGTACGGCTCAGGCAGCGTCGGGTTGCTTTGAGGAGTGCCTCCTTGGCCTTGAAATAGTGAAAGACAATAATATTGCGTGGTACGTCCGCAGCAAAGCGGGGCGGTCTCGGTATGCGGTGGGCCCTGTCAAGTTCCCATGTAATGTCGGTTAGGTCGGGCACCAATGTGGAGCTTAAAGTGGTGATATACGATGGGATCTCTTCCGTTGCGACGGATTCTGCGATCCCCCGGAATCTCACATTGTTCCGGCGGGACCGGTCTTCTATGTCCGCTATTTTGTGCCAGATTTTTGCATTTTCGTCCACCAGCTTCTGCACCTTATCGATCACTGTGTTATGGGCCGAGCAGAAATCTTCAGTTTTTTGCTCAATTTGATCTGTGCAGTTCCGCCAGTTCTTGATGGATGCCTGATATAATGGTGGTGAAATCTTCACGTATTGTGGCTCTCAGGTCCATGAGCATTTGTTTTAAGTAATCTTTGGTGACTTGTCCATCTTCCGATGGTTGTTGTGAGGGTGTCTCCTTATTGTGGCTGTCGGTTTCAGGGGAATGAGCTCTGCTTTTGGCGCCATCTTGGGCCTGTTTCTGCCGGTCTTTTTTGTTCTGTCGGACCATGTCCTTTAGTTTGGTCTGTTTGGAGGGTGACATATTGGTCTTCTCCGATCTTCCCCCTTGTATTTAGGTCTTTGGGGTAGATATTTATATTTTTAGTAGCTTATATGGCCCGGATTGAAGCGGAGCTCCTACTCCATGCGTCCGTCCGTGCTGGAAGTTGGGCACACCCCGCCGGCGACCCGATCTTTTGGCCACAAAAATGCCTCTAAAAACCTCCTGGAAAGGGCTAGAGAGCTGCAAAAGGAAGTAAAATGGGAGTAAGAGTAGGACAAGTGCCTTGCAAACAAATGTGGATAGGGAAATCACTTAAAATAAGATAAAAATTAAAAATACAGCTGAGCCATAAAATAGCACTAGATGGAATCTTTGATTTTAGCTTTGGAAGAACATAAATCAAAATCTAAAGCATGGCTGTCAGGAGGATCAACATAATTATCAATTTGAGAGAGGGTTGGAGTGCAGGGTATTCTCTTTCATTGTTCAAACTGAGCTCAACTCCTGATGCATGGAGAAAAGACCATCACAAGCCTCTGCTAATGTGTACCTAGTTTATACTAAGTGACCCATAGGTTGAGGAGGCGGTGACAGTGACAGTGGAGGATGAGGTAGCCAACACTGTTTTTTATGTTTTTTTTTTTTTATTGTGGTAGCCCACAAAATATTGGGACATACAAATAAAGAAACATTTGCGGCCTGCGGTCCATTTCTTGCAGTCCTGATGCATGGAGAAATGTTCAACTCCTGAAACATGGAGAAAAGGCCTTCACAAGCCTCTGCTAATGTGTACCTCGTTTATACTAAGTGACCCATAGGTTGAGGAGGCGGTGACCGTGGCGGTGGAGGAGGAGGATGAGGTAGCCAACATTGTTTATATATATATATATATATATATATATATATTTTAATTGGGGTAGCCCCCAAAATATTGGGACATATAAAAAAAGACAACTCTGTTCTACACAGTAGCTGTTGCCATTATAGTTGCACAGGAACTTTGTTGACTCTAGAGAACCTCGGGCAAATCGTACATCCCTGTGGCGGCGGCTTTGCATGCAGATGTCATCCATATCAACTTTCAATGCCAGTTTCGGCGCCTACCATGGTGACCACGGGTAACAGGGAATCAGGATTCCATTCCATACAGGGACCCTGAGAAATGGCTACCACATGCAAGGAAGGCTGGTGCAGAGCCACTGACCCATGCGTGCTGCAGCTGAAATTCCACTATTGCCTGCTGTTGCTCGCAAAGTCTCATGAGGCGGTGAGCAGGAAGGCCGAAGTTATGCTGCAGAGCAGACAGGCGAACAGCAGCAGGGTGACAATGCCAAAAGCACGCACAGCTGCTTTAGTGAATGTCACATCCTGACAGTGTTTGGGTCCTGGTCACCGGACTTCCCACCTCACTGTGAAACTACGAATGGATCGTTAAATCTGGTACGAACCCGAACTTTGCAGTTCGGGTTTGCTCAAGTCTATTATGGATCCTTTGTTCGTTAAATGTATTACTTGGATAACTGGTCATTCTCGAGCTAATACATGCCGACGAGCACTAGGGGACGGCCGCTCCGCTTTTGCACCCTGCTCCCTCTTATGCTGTGCTGATGCCTCTGTGCCATAGCACCTCTTCCTCCAAACTGCACACGTCACTCGCATGACTTTGATTTCATGTGGGAACTAGGACCTCATCATCCTCTACATCATCTTCTACCCACTCCTCAACCCTGCCCTCCTTGCCGGTATGCACACTGCAGAAAGCCACAGCAGTTGGCACCTGTGTTTTTCCAGCATGTAAAGTCTGCAAAGGACATATGGAAATTGTTTTAGAATTTCCTCCAGGCAACAGTTTTCCCTATAAACTGACCTCTCAGTTTGACTTGTGAGGGTATTGCCCCAGAATTACAATATTGTTGAAGTACCTCTTAGCTATTGATCACTGGTTTAAATATAGCAGCTTGTTATCTGGTAGTTTCTAGTGTAGAAAATATCAATCTGTTTTCTATCACTTAGATCTGTGTAACAAGTGTTGTAGGTGTAAAACAATATTTCAAGTGACCGATGTAGTAAATTCGAATCAAAGTCACGCTCCAATTTGACTCTCAGATATGAAGTGAACACCCCAAATATACTATTTGGCGCCCCCCCCCAAAAAAATTTACTTTTTAAAACTCCAATGTAAGAAGCAGATTAGTAGCAAAACAATTAGAATGTTTACAAGTGCGCAGAAAGCACACTATTAGACGCTTCGATTTGACCCCTTAAGATATGAAGAACAGGCCCCAAAATGTACTATTTAGCAGATTAGCAGCAAAACAATTAGAATGTTTACAAGTGCACAGAAAGCACACTATTAGACTCTTCGATATGACTCTCAGATATGAAGAACAGGCCCCAAAATATACTATTTAGCAGCAAAACAATCAGAATGTTTACAAGTGCGCTGTAACCGCTGTATTATACGCTTCTATTTGACTCTAAGATATGAAGTGCACTCCCCAAAATGTACTATTTAGCAGCTTAGCAGCAAAACAATTAGAATGTTTACACTATTAGACGCTTCAATTTGACTCTCAGATATGAAGAGCAGGCCACAAAATGTACTATTTAGCAGATTAGCACACATCATCTTCCAGCCACTCCTCAACCCTGCCCTCCTTGACAGTATGCACACTGCAGAAAGCCCCAGCAGTTGGCACCTGTCTTTTTCCAGCATGTAAAGTCTGCAAAGGACATGGCAATTGTTTTAGAATTGTATCCAGACAACAGTTTTCCCTATAAACTGACCTCTCAGTTTTACTTGTGAGAGTATTGCCCCAGAATTACAATATTGTTGAAGTACCTCTTAGTTATTGATCACTGGTTTAAATATATCAGCTTATTATCTGGTAGTTTCTATTGTAGAAAATATCAATCTGTTTTCTATCACTTAGATCTGTGTAACAAGTGTTGTAGGTGTGAAACAATATTACAAGTGACCGATGTAGTAAATTTGAATCAAAGTTACGCTTCAATTTGACTCTCAGATATGAAGTGAACACCCCAAATATACTATTTAGAGCCAATGTTTACAAGTGCCCAGAAAGCACACTATTAGACGCTTCGATTTGACTCTCAGATATTAAGAACAGGCCCCATAATGCACTATTTAGCAGTTTAGCAGCAAAACAATTAGAATGTTTACAAGTGCGCTGTAACCGCAGTATTAGATGCTTCTATTTGACTCTCAGATATGAAGTGCACGCCCCAAAATGTAATATTTAGCAGATTAGCAGTAAAACAATTAGAATGTTTACAAGTGCGCAGAAAGCACACTATTAGATGCTTTGATTTTTTTTTTTTTAAACTCTGATGTAACCACGGTATTTGAAGCTTCTATTTGACTCTCAGATATGAAGTGCACCCCACCCCACTAATGTACTAGTTTGCAGAATTCTTTCCTAAGCTGTCCCTGTCAGCGGCAGCATCCTCTCCCTATACTAATAAAACCGCATGTGCCTGTGGCGCTATGCAACTCCAGCTTATATATAAAGTCTGGGTCACATGCTGCACTGGCCAATCACAGCCATGCCATTAGTAGGCATGGCTTTGATGGCTTCTAAGGGCACACAAGTCAAACGCTTGTTGATTGGCTGCCCTGCAGCCTTTGAAAACGTGCCATTAAATCGCCGAACACCGAATTCCAACCTGAACATACAGTGATATGTCCGTGTTCGGGTCTGGGGTCCAAAAAACCTAATGTTTGGTACGAACCCGAACTTTTCAGTTCGGGTTCGCTCAACTTTAGTCACAAAATACAAGGAAAAAAATAAAATTTCAATTTGCAACAATTTGGTATGTTTGGTATGTTTGTATTGTAGGTTTAGTAGCCACCACAAAAAACAAAATTGCCACACAAAAGTATATATTTATATAAAGTAGACATCAAAGGCTATTTACCTAAGGTTAGTTTGACACTTTTTATGTAGCCATTTCATCGCCAATCTCTGCTAAATATTGGAGTAAAATTTTGTTTTTTCTCTATTTTGGCATATACACATATAACAAGGTTTTTGTAATGTGTATTTCATAAAGCTGGTGTGTGCTATTCCTGCTCAGAACCTCATATTGTGTTCAGTTACATCTGCTGAGTATAACGATACCCCAATTGTATGCCTTTGCCACTTTTCTGTAAAGCTACAATGCCATATAAGAGACAAGGCTATTTCAGTTTCTATAGTTATAATTTTCGTAGATGGATTTGACGGGCCTATGTCTCATTTTAGGGTATTATAGCAGTGTGACTGTTCAAATAACCCCACAAAGGCTTTCATTTGATAAAGCAGACACCCCAGGGTATCTTATATGGTGTATATTGTACCTTAACTTGTCACCATTTTTTCACCAATTTATGTCAATGTTTGTGGTGAGGGGAGGGAAAAATAGCATTTTTACATATATGTTGCATTTTTGCTGAGTATTTCTTACACTTATGTGTACCACTGTCATACAAATCCCCAAATTATAGTTACACCTTCTGAGTAAAACAATATGCCCAATTTATGACCTAGACACTATTTTGTGAAGTTACAGTACTGTAAAAGAGACGTGACAAATTCAGGTTTTTAAGTGTAATTTTCGTGGAGGGTTTTGATGCGTCCGTGTCCCACTTTGGAGAACTTGATCAGGCTATATATTACAACTATACCATAAAGGCATACCATTTCTTAAAGAGGACATCCCAGAGTATTTGAAGAGGCATATTTTGAACCTTAGCATGGGATAATTTTTCCGCTAGCTTGTACCAAGTGTAGTGGTAATGAGCATTTTTTCTGCCTTTTTGACACACAAGTGAGTTTGCACAGTATATTTTGCAAATCGTATGTGTACTACGACTGTATAATACTTCATATGTTGCTCAGCTATGTCGTCTGAGTAAAGCAATACCTCCATAAGTACCTTTGCCAGGTATATGTGGACATGGAAGGGGCATATTTGAGACACAGTCATTCCAGTTTTTTTCAAACGTAGAATTTTTACGCTGTATCCATGTCCGATTTTTGCAGGCTATATAATCCAACTACCCCGTAAGGCATACCATTTCTTAAAGAAGACATCCCAGGGTATTTCAAAAGGCATATATGTTGCTCAGCTATGTTGTCTGTATGTACCTTTGCCAGGTATATGTGGATGTTGAAGGAGCACGTTTGCCGCAGCCATTCCGTTTTTTTTTAACTTCGAAGTTTTACGCTGTGACCATGTTACATTTTGGAGTCGTTTAGATGGTTGGTTAATGAAACTTCCCCACAAACACACACTATTTATTTATTAAAGAATACACCCTGGGGTAATTCAAAGGCATATTTTGAACCTTAGCGTGGGATCATTTGTTCTCTAGTTTGTTCCAGGTGTAGTGGTAATGAGCATTTTTAAATGTATTTTTTTTTACTTTTTTAAACTTTTTTTTACCTTTTAAAACTAGTTTTTAAACTTTTTTTTTGCTTAATAATTTTTTTAACTTTCCTAAACTTTCTTAAAGCTTTTTTTTACAGATTTAACATTTTTATAAGCTTTGTTTTTTACCGTTAACCCCTAACTAGCAGTAAGCAGCACTAACCGTCAATTTCCCAATTTCCCATAACTCCCACTCACCCCAGCTAGCAAAATATATCATTTTAAAATAGTTAAATTAATTAATTAAATAAATTGAACCCCTGAGGGTTTAAAAAAAAAAAGTTGATCCTAAGGGGTTAAAAAAAATTGGATCACAGTATAATACTATGATCTGTATTTTGATTACTGTAGGTAGTGATCAACTGGCAGGGAAAGGGTTAATTTTTATTAGGACTGGGTAAAGGAGGGTGGGATTATTTTTACTTGTTTAAACTTTGTTTTAAACTTTTTTTAACGTTAAACCCTAGCTAGCCTAACACCAAATTCCCCAATTCCCCACTAACTTCCACCCAACCCAGCTAACTAAATATATCATTTTAACGTATTTACATTTTTTAAACCCTCAGGGGTTTAAAAAAATATCAGATTACAGTAAAATGTAGTCCTTGCCAATTGATCACTATAGTCAGTGATCAATTGGCAGGTAAGGGGTTATTTTTTTTTAAAATGGGTAAAGTGGGGTGGGATTTTAATTTAACTTTATTTATTTTTTACACAGGGGAAGAGCACTGCTGATCCATCTCCCTGCACTTC